TTTAATATCACGTTTCTGGAATTAAAATTTACTATTGTAATTCTAAACCTAATGACTTTAATGGCAAAAAAATCAAGGCTTTTCTTTCTACTTAGTTAAACCGAAACCTGGAACCTAGCTGACTGCCAGACGGATCTTGGATCTGGCGGATCTCAGTGCTGTACTCCTCAATGAAAAAATAAAGGTAAAAATAGATTTCCACAAGCCCCGGGGAAGACTGACAGATTTCTTTCAATCTCATTGGATTTTATATCTTTTTTATACTGAAACCAAGGGCGTGCACATGGACCACAATGGATTGTAAAGGTTTAACTCTTTTGAATCGAATCTAATTTACATACTCATTAATAAGACTTCAAGATTTTAAATTATGCTCAAAATCGAAAATCTAACTTAAAGTTTTCGATGTCAAAATTCTAAATTTGAAAATTTTAATATCACGTTTCTGGAGTTAAAATTTACTATTGTAATTCTAAACCTAATGACTTTACTGTCAAAAAATTCAAGGTTTTCTTTCTACCTAGTCAAACCGAAACCTGGTAGATAGATGACTGCGAGAAGGATCTCGGATCTGGCGGATCTCAGAGCTGTACTTCTCAACAGAAAAAATAACGGTAAAAATAGAATTCCATGAGCCCCTAGGAAGACTGTCAGATTTCTTTTCAATTTCACTGGATTTTATATCTATTTTATACAGAGGCCAAGGGTCTGCACATGGACCACAATGGACTGCAAAGGTTTAACCCTATTGAATCGAAGTTAAAAAGTTAATAAGTTAAAAATTTCATTGCTATGAGTCTTGATTTAAATAGGTTGTGGTCATAATTCTGCATCCTCAATTTTCCTATTTTACCTAATCTCTTGTGTTTTTAATTTACTAATCTCTTTTTTAATTTACAAATAATCTTCTACATATAATGTTATTAAATCCGGTATACCGAATATTTGAATAAAACACTTTGTTCTTCTCTTCACAATTAATTCTTTATAATTACTATAATTACTGTTTCAAAAGTTGTAACTATTCAGAAGTATATGTTTTAAAAATCTGAATTTACTCAGGTTGCATGTAAGCACTACCGATTGCTTGCTTTAAATAAACTAATAGTTTCTTTTAATTATTTAGTTTGAACAGAACTGAAACGCCTCCGGAACTAGCAGAAAACAGCCATAAAATGCAACGCCGAGAAACCAAGATGTCACAAGATAAGGGGACAACAAAGAGTTTGTCTCTCTCTCTTTCTGTCGACCATCCATGTTTATATAGATGAAGCGTTATCTAGGAACCTCAATGATCCTAGTTATTACATTTCATAAAATATGCTGCCTCAATACTAAAGAGCTAACATAATTGCTTTTTGGCTTAAAAGATACTAACGATGAACCTTCAATGTTCGTATTTAGTATATTACTTAATTATTACGTTCCTTCGGACACCTTGCTAATGAAGCCTCAATATTACTAAAGACGAACCATCAATGTTCGCATTTAGTACTTTTCTTAATTATTATGTTCCTTCGTATACTTCTAATTAATGTTTTCCTTCTTTCACCTTGTTTATGAAGCCTCAATATTAACGAATTAACATATGTTTGCTTAAAATATTAACGAGGAACGGTCAATGTTCCTCGTTATGAAGCTCACAATAATTTTCTTTAATGTAAAAATGAAAACTCGCTCCCATGTATGTTTATGTGAAAGCATACACACTGTTAATTGTAGCATTTTCCAATAAGAGATAACACGCACTGTGTTTGTAGTATCTCCCAGTCAGATTTCATAAAAGTATGCTATCCTTTAATATATAATGTAGTTTTTTCTCTCGAACTGATGCTTTACCAATACTTGAATATAAATTTACCAGCAATCCAGACATGAAAAAACGAAAATAAATGTATCTGTTAAAATTAAATTTCGCACTTATTTGATTTATAATTGAATGTCCATGAAAATATCATAAGAAAGTTTTGTGTTAAATCCATATTAACAATCTTGTAACCTATAATGATACGTAAATAAATATCTAGATTTAAAAAAAAGTCTTATATCTTCTGGGTTACCCTGTTTTCCTTAACAACGATGTAGATATTGAAAATAACTTAAAGGAATATTTTTTTTAATGCATTGTATTCCCCAATGAATGAGTGATAAAGTAGGTACACTGAAAGGGTGTGACCGACAATGTATTGTAGTTTGAACTGAGAATTTAGTATTGTAGAGAATTTTTTTAGGAATCATTTGAGACCTATGGGACGTTTTTACGGTGCATATTTTTTCAGCAAGAGCACAAATTCAATCTTTAGAATCCTCATAGATTATTCATTTTTGAGAGATTATTTTGAGAATCGGTTTAAAAAAAAAATTTATTCAATAACGACGAGGAAAAATGTAGTACAAATTCTACAATAAACTAATTAGTTTTTAGGAACAAGTTGTGAAAATTGAAATTAACTATTATCACCGAAAATAAGTAATCTTGTTTAGTTATTGGTTTCTGTAATGTTTCATTGTTCACAAACATTTTCTGTAGATTTCCTGAAAGTTTTATTGAAAAGACGACATTTAAAGAATTTGAAGAAATTAGCCAACAAAAAGGAATAAGAAATTCAATTCATTCCCGTGTAGACCCGGCCCGCCCAAAAGTGAGACTAGGACAGTCTTTAAGGCTCAAACTCAGTAATTATACATCATTAAAGCGTTTTATATGTCTTAAATGAATCATAAATATATTATTATAAAGATTTATTCACACACAAAGATATAAATACATATATAAATGGTTTAGTTTTAAATTTGTTTAAATAAATTTTTGAAAATACAGGTTTCCAAAAGAAAAGAGAAAAATCAATTATGCACAAATAATTTCTCTACAATACTACATTCTCAGTTCAACTACCATACATTGCCGGTCACTCCCTTTAAGCGCCGAAATGAGCAGACAGGGACCAAAAGTTTCATTATAAACTATATTAAAATTACTCTTCAGAGGCAAATAACTCTCAAGAACTTTTTTTGAAATGTTTATATAAAAACAGGGCTGCCAACAATTTACTCTTTTCTTCTCCATGTTACATGTTGGAGAAAAAATAGGGTTTTTTGTTACTTGCATTTTAAAAAATAGAAATTTGCTGATATTTTTTTTTAATTTTAGTTTGTTTTTGACAATTTTATGCTTTTCCTATAAAGATTTCTTCCGTTTTAATAGTTGTTTTCCATAATAAGAAGCAAATTATAAGTTTTTATTGAAGCTTGAATCACTCCAGTATGCCAAGTCCATTAGTGCCTGATCCAATCATGGTTCAGTCATGTGTTATTGTAGTCTTTTCTGAACCAATAAAAATAGAATGGCGGTAACATCTATCTTTCTATCTATCTCATTATCCAATCAGAGATATGAATCCTTCAATCGGCGCTATAACAGTAAATATTTACTTCTACTGAAACTCTAGTATGAAATTAACGTTTGTTGTTATTTCCTAATGGGAGTGTAGTTGTAATTCCAATTGACTCTAAATGTGTAGAGTGGGATGTTCAATACACTTTTGTCTGATGAAGAATGAATGAGAAATATGCTTATTTACTTAGTTAACATTTTTTGCATTAATACTTTTTAGATAAAAATTACCATATCTTCATCTTTCATGGTTACTCGTATAGAGGTTTAAAGTGCAACAGTGTGAATTGAACACAGGGAGTAAGGAATAGAAGGGAGATATAACTGACGCGGTTCGCCCTATCAAATGATTATGAGTGCTTTGCAGACGGGTACTCCATTTATATAAAAAATATTCAAAATAGGTTATTGTATACGAGGTAATTGTACATCAGACAAATATTTCTTATATAAATGGAGTACCCGTCTGCAAAGCATGTATAATCATGGTAGGGCGCACCGTGTCAGTTATATCTCCCTTCTATTCTTTACTCTCTGATTAAACATCTTCAAATAAAGGGTTCTTGAAACTTCGTCTACAGCCCCTTTAAATGTATCCTTTTGATTGTTTGTCCGTTCAATTTTAAAAACTACAGTTCATTAACAAAACGTTGGCCAGCCCTATTTGGTAGAAAATCTAAATTTTGGAAATCCTGTAAAAATCATGTTTATTAGGAGGACACTCCAGAAAACTAGAGAGAGTGCACTTTCAAACTTTTTCTATCCATTTCGTAAAGAAAATATTTCATGTGGCCGTTAGTTTTAGTGTTCATTTTGTCAACGGTATTTTTTGGGTTTTAAAAGTTGCCGTTAGTTAACGATCTCAAATTTTTTAACATTGTCAAAGGAAGATATTCTGCCGTTAACAGTTGTTTTTTTGCAATTATAATGGCATTATAAAATTTTTAACGGTTTGTAGTATAAGGTTTCCAATCGTAATTCCGTTAAATAATTTGCTCAGTGGTACAGAAAAACAACATTACAATGTATATAATGTCGTTAAGGAGCAACACAATTTAATTAATAACTTATTAAATCACTTATTCAGTTAAATGGGCCTGCTGTAGTCTAAAGTGTAATCTTCCTTTGCCAGAGTTTTCTGGTTATCATGCTGCATATGAATATTTTGAAATAAAAGATTAAATTTTATTCAATCTTCTTAGTATTTGAGACTGAAATGTTAGTAGTAAAGTTCAATTTACTTTATGCCACTACCAAAGTTTAAATTTAATTTTTTGTTTTGTTGAATGGAATTGCGCAATAATTAATTGCATTTATTTCGTGCTATAAATTAAAGCTTAAGTGGAATATTATCAAAAAATTTAAACACAAGCGTAAAAAGTTGCATTTATTGCATGCAATCATTTAGGAATTGCGCGGAATTAAATTCACTCGCGCGCAAGGGCTCACATTTGCGCCCAAGTAAAATCCACTTGCCTTGAAAACCTTATTTGCAGTTTTATTAATTGTTAACTAATACTTTTTAAAATTCTGAGCATCCAGAAACTTTCCTTGCAGGGTCAAATTTTTGAAACTCCATATTTTTCTTGATTCAGTAGAAAGTATATAAGCCTTTACGTACATTTATTTAATTTGTAGCATTCACTATAGAATTAGTGTTGATAATCGGTACAAACAATATAAGATATTATAGATACGATTTTTCCATTCCCACACGCTTGAGTATGAATCGCAGAAAATGATTCCTCTTGTGTGTTAAAAGACTGTTAGGCAGTTATTTCCTCCCACAATAATGAACACATTTGCCTCTAAAAAAAATAATAAAAAAATTTTGTTTTTATTTCACCAAAAAGAGCAGACAAAGTCTAAGTTATGCTTTCAAAATGTAGCTTTAACTATATATCATTTAGCAGTGTGAACAGGAACTGCGTCCTTGCTACAACATCAAATTGCAAAGATCTGAGTTTGTTGCAAAAAATAAGTTTCTTCATGCGACTGGTGTAATAATAAAAAACAATGAATTTCAAAGTTGATATATTGTCATTTAACTTAGCATTATAAAACGATTAAATATTTCAGTTTCTAAAGAAATTTTCACAATTGTGAAAGGATAAATAAATTTAAAGACACTGTAAATTAATCTCATGTGACCTTGCATTTTAGGAGGGACATGCCTGATTCACATTAGTAACCTTAAAATGATCTGGTTTTATGATATGAAAAATATTTTTTTTTCCAGCTGGCTATTTTCGCTTTTGTTAGGAAGCATAAATGCGCAACTCGTAAGTCACACTTCAAATGGAGGTCACTTGAAAATACGTTTACAGTTCCTTTGAATAACCTGCTATTCGGAGTGTAACATCTGAAAAAACAGATGAAATTAGACGGATTAGTTGCAGGGTTACCCACAAAGGATGAGACTATAAAGACGACTCAAAACACTTTACTTATGACAATTCAAAGCTTGATTTGGTTTCTGTCTTCAATATAGTGTTTTAATGGTTCACTGATTGATCAAGCACATAACTAAGCCAGTATTGGCCTGCAAGGAACCCAATGTGTAAGAAAAGGAACTAAACAAATTCCTTACAATCGTCTTTGAAGTCTCATCATTCGTGAATAACCCTGTGTTGGAGAAAAGGGACTAAGTATTGTTTTTAAAAAAATGTTATCGCATACAATATTTTTTGAACCCAAAGAATACAGTTTTAAACTTGATTGTGCGAAAAATTTCTGTATAAATTGTATAAAATGTCAATGTATTTCAAATAGTTTCAAAAATCTAAACATGACATTGGTTTTAAAAACAATCCTTGCACAAGGATGGGAAAAGTTCTGTTAACAAAACGGAGGTTTCTGAAACTAACGGAAGAGTCCGTTGATTAACGGCAAAAACCGTTAATTTTTAAATCGATATGAACAAAATTAACAGTTGAAAAAAACCGGATATACCATAAAATAATGACAAATTTTGTTCTTTTCTTCAGCTTAAAATTACATAAGACTTGCAGCAAATAAAATTAATTTTATTATTTATGCCGTTTTCTGATTTTTCCCTTTTTTTTTTCTTGTTTTATGCTTTTAAGTGTTGTCTTCAAAATTGTCCAGATATTTTACATGAAATAATCGTTAAAGGCTCGTTAACGGCTTTAACCATTTACAATATATAAAATATCTCCCGTTAAAACCTTTAATAAGATAATGAGATTGCCATTAAATGGTAGCTTAAAATAACAAAAATTACCTTAACGAAAAGAACATTTTGTTTTTTTTGGATATTTAAATTAAACAAACAGCTACCGGGACATTTTTTTAACGGTATTAGCTTACAGTTAACAAACAGCTAAAAAAATGTCCAGCCCTATCTGATTTAAATTAAAAGTACAGAAACTGCAACTAAGATAGTCAGAATAAAACATTTTTTTAATGGAAGCTTAAATAAGTTTGATTGTTTACCTTTTTTCATTTAAAACAATTACCTTGGACAGTCTGTAATTGGACATGGTCAGAATGTTCGTTATTACCTTGCCAAAACAAAAAAGTAGTTTATGATGATTTTTTCATAATCCAAATCATAAATATCAATTTTGACTTGTTTTATCTACATTTTAGAGATAATGCAATATCAGTGAAACAAATTAATCATTAGTTACTCACCTGTTCAGCATTTTTAATTGTATTTGTTAATTGTTCGTTAACGAACCATTTCATTCATTTTTTTCAATTGTTCAAAAATATTGATTTCGTTCAATTTTAAAATTATCGTTCATTTTCCATCTATTTCTTTTGTTTTCTTATTGAACAATTGTTAAGTAAAATCGTTCTTTAGTAAAGCTGGTCAATTGTTAAAATTGTTTGCTCATAAAAATCGTTTGATCAATCATTTTTTTAAAGTCAATCTTTCAGAGTATTTATTCGATCAGTAAAAAAACTAACAATTGATCATGAATGATCAAGATTGTTCAACGATTTTAAATAATTAATTTTTTTGAGTTTGTTTTAAAAAAACTATCTTTCTTTAATTTCTCTCAACAATCCAAGTTGTTCATGTATCGATGAAAAAAAATAATAAAATGTAAAGATGACTTTCCTGGAACATGGCCACGTCTGTTTCTTGGATTTGAATATATGCCTAAATACAATAATATGTTAATAATCACATGTCATGAGATTTTGTTAGCTTAATCTTAAGTCGGGCCCAAGGTGAAGCCCTAAACTAGGGCTTAAGAAATAAAAACTTTGTCCGATGTGATAAATCTAATCAAAAATGCATTTTTTGATTCAAAGAGTTTTAAAAAGTTTGAATACTCCCATGCGACAAATCTAGGCTTTAATTTTTTTTTAATTGATCTTTGTCTAGAAATGAAGCTTTACAATATTTTATATAATCAGAAAGTGTCTAACTTTCAGAATGATGTAAATCTGAATGTTTTTAAGTTAAAATGTCCAACTATAAAGATATCTATCCTTGACTATATACTTAAACTTAAACTATTGTCTTGATGCCTTAGCCAGACAAAGTTAAAAACAATGTAAAGAGTACAACTGGAAGTCAAACTCTTTTTATTTACGCTAAGATCTTTTGGAACCGTTTCTAAAAATTTGGTTTTCAGTACTTTAACATTCTTTTGTTCAACACTCTTAAAGATGGAAACTCTCTGATTATAGACTCTATAAATGGAACTTTATAAAAAGACTTACTTTTATCTGTCAGAATATATTTCACAAAGGTAGAGAATAGAGTGGCAATATACAAAGTTTACAAAGCTTTTATACTAGAATAGTCACAAGGGATTGCCCTTGCGCACAAATATATAAAGGATAACATACTATAAATACAAAAATTCCTTGACATACATGGTTTTATTGGTTAAAAAAGAGGATTTACACCAAATTTTGGTCTGTTATTGGTCGATACAAATGGTTTCATGGTTCTATTGGATAAAGAAGAATTGTACGTCAAATTTTGGTATACTATTAGTCGATTGAAATGGCGCTGAAGCCTAGCTTGAAGTTGGTTTTTACTAGATTTTTCAGACCTCTGAGTCTTTTTTTAGAGGTTAAACATGTTGAAATGCATTGTAAGAAATAAACTGTGTTTTTCGTTGCTATGTTAAGTGATTTAAACATTTAAAGATCAGGATGTAAATTTCTAAAGGTTTTCAAAAATTTATGAGAGGAACATACATTTTAGCTTATCTATATGTAGAGATTTTATTCAAAAAATGTCTCAAAATCCCCTTCTTCTTTGAAACTAAGGTTAAAAAAAATTAATATAAAATGGTAATTTTGGTTGTTTTTTAGACTTTGTTTATAAAATAAAGTTAAAGACCATAATAAAAGTAAAAAAACTTCAAGATTTTACTTGCAAATCTAATCAGGGAATAAACATCCATTTAAAATATACTTCGCAAACAAATATTTTTGTCTATCGTTTGTTTTACCCCAACACATCAAAAGCTATATCAAGGTTTGGTGGGGATGGTTGAGAAGAGTTGCGAGTAGACTTGTTGTGCTTTTGTTCTATGATCTGTTGTTGAATTCTCCAGGAAGTTTGTTTGATGAACTTTGTTCGCTGCTACCTGGTGTTGTAGCAACTGTCTCGAGTGGATTATTTTTACTATCCACTAAGCCCAACTATTTCTTTGGTTGGAGCACTTCTTGGATTCAATTCTTGTCTTGGTATTTTTTCTTCTTTTGCATTTTTCTTTTACTCCATTAACCCTATCTCTGCTGGGGTACTTGAAAACCAGGATATGCTGGGGGGGGG